TCTATTAATATTTAATATAAGTATAATAGTATAGGTAATTAGGCTTACTAGTTTTCTATTAAATCCTCTAACTAGGTACTTCTAACTTAGCTTATATATATATATAGACTAAATTTCTTTCTAAGTAATATAATAAAGGTAGTATTAATAAAGATAGATCTATCTATTCCTATATCTACTAATACTTCGATTAAAAAGGAATATCTATTATATATTAAGTTTATATTAAAAATTAAACTATTTCTTAGACTTCCTAAAAGTTTCTATAAATTAAGAGTATATAGTAATACTTCCTTACTACCTAAGATAGAGACTTTCCTTAGGTAGTAGCTTTTCCCTAATTATTACTTTTAAGTTCTTTAAGGTTAGTAACTCTTAGTATATATATATTAGCGGTAGCTATAATAGTAGTAGTAGCCTACTTCTTAGGATAATTATAAGTTATATACCCCTTTTCTTTATAGTAGAAATACTTTCCTTTATATATTAATACTTCTCTTTCTATAGTTATTATATTATTAGTATAGCTTATACTTAGTTCTTTCTTAATTTAAGGGATATAAGTTATAGTAGTAGTTTATATTCTTCCTCTAGATCTTCTAGTAGCTAGGGTAATATAAGTATAGTTAATAGTTTTCTTTTCCTATTATAGACTGATTTTATATATTATACTATAATAGGTTTAAATAAATATATTAAGGCTAATAAGGTCCTAGTTTACTACCTATATAACTTATATCTAGAATAAATATAAAAGCTTTAAGTAAAGGTTATATTTATAGTTTTCTTTAATAATAGTAGCCTCCTCTATAAACTATATAAATTCTATAAGAAAGTTAGTAAAGTTATTATAGGGCTTTATCTAAAGTTTATAGTAGTTAGTATATACCTTAGTCTTTTAGTTAGGATTTATAAAGATAGTTTAGAGGTAAGTAATAATATCCTTAATATTAAGGTAGGGATTACTTAAGGTTATACTTATTCTTAGTATAATATAGAATTAAGCCTTTCCCTTATAATAGCTCTAGATATAAATCTTTCGATAAATTAAAAGGGAGTAATAGTTAGAATTAGCTTTAAGTTTCTATTAGATAATTATTTCCTAAGTCTTAAATTATACTTCCTTTCTATCCTTTAGGATAGGAATATTAGATATCTTAATACTCTTAACTTAAGCTTCTATAATCGGTATACTAGAGTTTAATAAGGTTTATTAGGTAGTTAGTATATTATTTAGGAAATAGTATATAAAATAGTCTCTTTCTTACTAAGTAAGGCTTAAGTAGGTAATTGCTTCGTTTTATTTAATAGTTAGGTTATTAATAGTAGTTACTATCTCTTTCTCCTTCTTATAGAGGGTAGTAATCTCTATATTTAGCTTCTATTTTTCCTTTTTAAGAAGCCTATACTAGTTAACTAGAGTATTAAATCGTTCTAGCTTTAGGGTTCTTTTTAGGAGTTTATTAATAGAAATTTCTTTATTAGGATATAATATTTTATCTCTCTTAATACTCTTAATTAGGATAGTATTTAGGTTTAAAAGGCTAAGGGTAGGAGTAATAGGTCCCTATTAGCCGGTATCTTCTTCCTTTAGGGTATCTAGAGGTCGCTTTCTATAGCTTACTAAACTTCTAGTTTTAGGAGCTATATTATAATCGAGAAAAAGTTTAAAGATATAAACTAAGTTAGAGCTAGTTATAATAACTGCTTATATAACTATATAGTTTAAGGTTAAATTTTAGAATAATACTTAGAATTATATTATATACTAAGTCGTTTAAGGAAAGAATATATTTATATTAAAATTCTAAGTATAAGGAGAGAAGAAGAAAAGGGAAAACTATCTATAAGGGCGTTCCTCCTTCTTATATCCTTCCTATTTACTTGTTTACTTCTAGTATAAAAGCTCGTTTGCCCTTCTTAGAAGGAACGAGGGAAGTCGCTCCTGCCTAGATCATCACACTATCGACTATATATAGCTAGGCCTATACCGGCGGATCAGCCTAGGCTTAAAAACTAGATTAGTAGTCATCGTCCTATAGGCCGGTAGGGTTAGTGAAATTTGTACTATATAGGTCCTTATTAGTGTAAAAGTTATCTTTAAAATCCTATTAATTATCGTTATTAACTAGGACGTTATCCTAATACTCCTCTAGGCTATTATTATTAGCTTAGGAGTAGTTATTTAACTAATAATAGTTAGTATCTATATCTATATAGTATACCTACTAAGGTTTATTCTAAATAGTATACTAGGAGTTCCTAGAGCTATTATAGCTAGACTATTAGTAGCTAGGATTATTCTAGGTCTACTAAGCTTAAACTCCCTACTATAGATATTATTATCTCTAAAAGGTTTAGGGACCTTAGTTACTTTATACTAGGTTCTAGGGCTAATACTAATAGGACTAATATTAGGCTCCTATAGCTTAGTATAGGTACTAAGGAGTCTACTAAGCCTAGCTATAGGGCGCTAGAGCCTATTATTATCTATATCTAGCCTAGCTTTAGGGTAGACCTTAATAGTCTTAGGCTAATAAGTAGTTATAGCTATATAGGCGCTAAGGGTAGCCTTAGTACTAGTCTTATTAGTAATATAGGGCTAAATTATCCTATTATAGCCTATTATTTCTAAATCTAATAGTTAACTAACTTTAATACTTAGTTACTATATCTTTCTAATCTTAATAGTAGTAGTTAAAGCTATTTATAAAAGTAACTAATAAGATAGTCTTAGTTAGTTCTAAGATATTATAATAAAATATAGGCTCTAGGTTCTAGTAAATTTATAATAACTAATTAAGAATATCTATTATACCTATAGCTTTATATAGGTATAATATATCCTATATATATTCTCTTAAGGTATAGCCTTAATATATATTATCCTATTTATATATATATTTATTAAGCTAGAGAAAGGCCTTAGTATAGTTAGGTCTAAAATACTATATTATTATAAAAAACTATCTATCTTAGAATAGAACCTAGTTTATAAGGTATTTTTTATCTATAATTAGCTCCTATAAATATTATTAGAGTATATTACCTTATAAATAGCTATAGATATTTACTTAGATAATAGCTTCTAACTTTAGAAATATTAGGTTTATTATATAATCTATAAATATATATATATTAAAGTAGATATAAAGATTTTAGATTATATCTATTCTATTTTTAAAACTCTTTAAAGGATTAAAAATACTAATTTTAGATACTTTTTATAAGGTATTAGTAATAGCTAATTAGCCTAAGGAACCTTACTTACCCTAAGGACCTTAGTTACCTTAAGGCCTATAAAGAGTATTAGTATTATTCTAAAGACTTATCTATATAGCTTTCTTAATAAGCTCTATAAACTATACTATATTAAAACTAGGTAATAGTAGGGAAGTAGCTAGAATTAATATATTATCTATATAATTAAGACCCTAATTTCTATTATTATAGCTAAGACCTAGACCTCTATTATTTACTATTTTTTATAGGAAATTAGAGAGTTTAGCTTCCTATAGTAGGCTTAATAGACCTATTATAGGGCTAGTCTTACTATTATAAAAATATAAAGTTAATTATACTCTTAACTATACTAGGGGTCGTTCTAAGATTAGGTATTTAATATTAGCCTTATAAGAGTAGAGGTCTACTTAGTTATCTTTAGCTTATTTAGTTCCTAGAGATTAGACTTCTACCTAGTTATCTTCTACTTATTAGTCTTCTAGAGACTAGACTTCTACTTAGTTAACTTTAGCTTATTAAGACTAGACTTCTACTTAATTAACTTTAGCTTATTAGTCTTCTAAAGACTAGACTTCTACTTAGTTATCCTATAGAAGGTCTATATAGCTATCCTTAGCCTATAGTATAGAATTTTTATCCTTAGTTTAGAAAAACTTACTATTATAACTATCTAACTAAGGACTAAAATAAGGCTACTATTATATAGTAGTAGGCCTATATATATAGTATATAATAGTAGTAGCTTAGGTAGTCGGTTAGTCTAAAATAGGTATTAAAGACTAGGGTATAGAAAGGTATATTATAGTAGTAGGTTAGGTAGTCAGTTAGTCTAATATAGATATTAAAGATTAAGGTATAGAAGCCGGTAAACTAGGAGGCTTACTCGTAGTTCGCTTAGGTTAAGGTCTCCTAAGTAGATATATAAGCTTACTCGATAGAGGGATTATAGGACTTAGAATAGTAAGGTAAGATATTAGATAGAGGAAATCCTTAATAGCCTTATTAAGTATAGACCTATCGATAGGCTAGGAAGGTAGAAATAGATCCTCTAAAGATAGAAGGATAATAGAAGTAGATAGTAAGGTTAAGGGATTAGTAGGCCCGGTAGGTAAAGGGATTAAGATAATAATAATATAGGAAAGTATATCTATATCGAAATTACCTAACTAGGGGTATGCCTCCTAGCGATAATTATCGAACTGGATTATAAGCTAGGTAGCCTAACGAGTATACTTATCTATAGATTATTATAGTAGCGGCTTAGCACTATGATTAATAGCCTTACTATAGCGGCTTAGCACTGTGATCGATAGTATGGTCGACCGCCGATTATACTAGGCTTAGTGACCTCTGACCTTGGTATATAGGGGAACCCCTAAGGTGGTCGAACTTATTAAAATAAACCCGAGAGAGATCCTCTCGGAAGAAAAAAAACTCTGGATGAAACCAGGACGTGCTACCATAAATATGGCAAGTAAGCTTGGTAGGGAAGATGATGATATTATGAACCCCTTGTTGGGGGTGCTAACTAGCTAACTATGACTAAGCTGTGACATCGGCGAAGGCTGCTGTGGAGACGGGGGCGTTCCCTCAGAAGGCTTGCTAAGGCAAGTTGCAATTGCGCGTCTTGGTCAAAATTGAGTTCTGGTCTGTTGGGTACACAATATCTAACCAACCGCGCAATGTCTTCGATATCGGTCAAATGCTTTGGACCCTGTCGCTGGTACTGGGATAAGATCTTCTCTCGCGTAAGCCATTCAGCTCCGAAGATCTTCACGGGATATCCGTTGATAGTCCTGGTCACACGTGTCGCTCGCCGTCTGAATATTATACTGCGGCCTTTGTGGCCAGCTAGCGTGATCGAAAACCTCCAACTCGATAAGCTGAATGGTGCCGCTTGGGGAACGTAGTCTGAATGCCGGGATCACATGTCCGAATTGGTTGACCGGTCCAAAATCAGCAGGGAAAGCGTTCAGCAATCGCTGTGTAAGAAGATCTGCAGTTATGTAGCGCTGGTCGACATGAATGACTAAATCCACATCTTCTGTCCGCCGGCTGGGATGTGGTGCCATGAAACATACCGCGGCACCTCCCATGAGCGCGTAGTCAATTTGCAATAGATCTAGACATTGGGCAATGCGGGAGACGACGGTTTCTGACTGGGGTAGAAGTAGGCCACGCATTCTTCAATCGTTCTCTAATATCACGATGGTCAGATTTGGAGTGGGAGAGTGAGTGTGATTTCTCGTACCTCTGCGTGTGCGGAGAGTCGCTGTGGGACTAGAGGTTTTATGAGTAAAGAAACTGATGCAATGAGATGTGCGCAGAGAAAAGGTAAGAGAAAGGAAGAGCAGATGAGCAAAAAAGCAGGATATGAGAAGAGCAGGATATGAGAAGAGCAGGATATGAGAAGAGCAGGGGAGCGGAGGAGCGGAGGAGCGAAGAAACTGATCTAATGAGATGTGCACAGAGAGGAAGGTGAAGGGAGATGAAGAGAGAGGGAGAGAGGAAGAGCAGAAGAGCAAGCCCGGTGAGGAGCAGGCAGGAAGGCTGCCTCAACAACTCCTCGTCTAGGTAGCGCAACCCTTCCACATATGATTTTAGAGAGGTCATAGTAAGAGGGATGTCAAGAATACAGCGGGGCTCTGAAGCAAAGTAAATTACCTCCCTCTCACCTCTGTTATCTCTCACTTCAGTTACCTCTTATACTTGAGAATAAGTTTCTAGGTATGGATACTATGATTTCTATCATTCTACTTGTCTAATCAACATGAATCTACTATCAACTTACGGATGTTGACTTCTCAACTATAAGAGAGACAGCACGTAGCTGGGTCTGTGATATTCCTGAAGGAATTTCATTTGAGGCCAAAGGATATTCAAGGTTTCTTCCGATCCACTTCGGCCCGCTTAGAGGAACTAGGTCCCGGCGCTATTTCATCTACTAAAGTGGGGTCTAAATCCTATGATGTCGAGAGTAGTAGTAGCCAGTCAGGCATATGGCGGACGAGAGAGGTAATAATGGAGAGGAACGACGATAGATGCGTTGGAAGGTCACAATTCATTTGAGATCCAAACTTTCTAGCGAAGACTACAGAGTAAACCACCTAGAAAAATGGAGATAATTAAATTTGTATAGCCCAAAAGCTTCATGTTCATGGGGTCATCGGGCCTGGTTATTCCGTGCTGGCTGTAAATCGATGCATAAAAGCGGTTAAATTCAGGCCAAATTTCAGGCATTAAAGCCCTAGTTAATACGGTGACAACGACCCCTCTCGCTATGTTATATTGTACTTTACGACTAGAAATATATTCCAGCTACTTGTTTAGAGCGTAATATTTGCAATTCGTCATCAGGTAAACATAATTCAGGTTTCGCGGCATCGGGAAACCTGCACCAGGCATATCTCATCAGTATATCGGTCCGAGTCTGCTGTCTGGGACAACTCCAAGCTGGAGGGCGACTTGGCCCCTTTTGTGCTATCTCCAAGTTGCGAGAATCCAGGCTCTTTGGTATGGCGTGGAGTACTGCTATACCTTGAACGAGGTTCTTTTGAGGCCGAACTACCGACGAGTTTCCGGCCTAGGATTCTGGAAAGCAAAGGCCAAATGGAAGGAAGGCAGGCAGCAATTATGATAACGCCACTTTCGAGAATTGTCCAAATCCCAAGCTTGACAGAAGTCCCTATCGATATTAGCTGAGGTTGAGCGTGGGGATCTTGCATGACATACAGGTCGGGTCTGTAAGAGCACTTTCTTGGAAAAAGATAGTCATGCGAAGAATACTCGCGACGGTTCCCCTATCAGCAGTGTCAGAATCCCTCCAAGCAGAAGGTCATTGTGAAAACTCACAAACTTCCCAGAAGGAAGACGCCGGTTAAGGCTACTTTCTGGCCAATTCGGGTGTGAAGTTTCCAGACATACGGCAGCGGCATCACCAAGATCAAAACATCGGTCATGATATTAGGAAGCGAAACATAACGGTAGAAAGCCTCTTGGTTGAAGCATGAGCCTCCAGCAATTGTTCTATCCCATGTGTATGCGATTGGCGAACATTGAAAAATCGCCGCGAGCAAAACTCCAAGTCCATGACCTAGCACAATTGCACCCACAATATAGGCAAATATTCGAAACATGCGGACAGGAAATAGGCGCACGTAGAAGAGGAGGATCGAAACCTTAGCGGGCGCTATAGTGAAAGGAAAATCGAGGATTTGGTTTGCGTAGAGACCCTGGATAAAACCGATTAGACATTGCTGAGAGCTTCTCAAGTCAAATTATGACAAACTTTTTGTAAGATAACCAATTTTGAAGGAGTTCGCGCGACATATTCGAGGTGATAACCGACTCCTCCCCGCTTGACCACTGTACATCGTGATATCAGTATCCGATCGCCAATATACTGTAGGAAGGTGCGTACAATAGATATAGAGTGCCGATTGTGCTAAACTAGCAATCTGTTTTTCTTGTTAGCATTGTGCAGGTTCACGAGGTTTGAATATAGGTGGCGATTCATACCAACGCTGGGATCATTAAATAGTCATCGATTCCGTTTGCTACTCGCTGTATATGCCTAGTGTAAAAACGGGCCCCGACGATAATGATTTGAATGGCAGCAATAGCAATTGAGACACCAATGAGTTGTTGTCCGCAATATGCGACAGTGCCAGTACTCTCTGCCATTGTTGATCAAGCGTTCAACATGTCGCTTGCGAGTATTCAAGGCATTGCTTGACCAATTGGCCAGGTCAAATTTTTTTCACGAGAAAACGTAGAACTCACACTTACCCCAGAGCAAAATGGATCGGCCAATATAAGTTGCCTTGCTTACTTTTTGGTCATATACTTGGCCTCGAGTTAGTGGGTTGATTAGGGATTTATATTAAGGTGTCATCATAATGATTGGGGCCAAAACAGGTTACGTATTGATTTTTAGAACTGTAACAAATTAACAATCCTGCTAAGCGAGATGCGCTCTTTGAATTTTGGGAGAGTGATATATGCTTTGCCCTTTGACCCTACCATCACAAATCTTGAAAGCACTTTTGATTTCACAATGGCATTCGCATCGGACGGCGTGTTGAGGAGAACCCATCGCGCTATCGAGAGCCTAGAACACGGCTACCCAACACTTCCACTATGTTTAGGTTTCAACTATTCCTATCACATCGTTAATTATGCTATTGTGCTCCATATTGCTAACAATGCTGCTTCTAAGAGGCCGAGCACTCGAAATCCTTTACAACATATCTTCCAACTCCACCGTGAAACCTGATTGAAACCTGCCGAAGGAAATTCAAGTGTAACTCGACAATAACCAGACTGGCTAGTTAGAGCCTCTTTATCAGAGTTTTCTATAGACGGCAGTATATTGTAGGCAATAAATGCAAATTCAATTTCTCGTATAAAGCAATCGGGGCATAAATAATCCCAGATCTCGGCTACACTAGTTCATCGAGTGGACCTGCTTGCTTGAGCACGGTTCACACGGTTCACACAACGGGATCTCAAGGCCCATATTTGTCGGAGAGCCCGCCCCGTGTACGGAGTATGTAGCGTTTATGTACTCCACGGGATAACTTGAATGCTCTAAGATATCCTTTCGGGAAATTCTAGAATTTCTACGACACCGCAAGAAAATCCATCATGACCCAGGATATGGACACATCTCTCTCGGCACAGATCGCTGCTTTGGCCGATAGCGCGCAGACTCGAGGCCTCGATGAGCAAGCACGTTCAGAAGCACTCAATGCTGCTCGGCGTTTGGTAGCTGCTTTGGAGTCACCCGTTGAGAGAATTATTCAGGATGTAGTGATGGTATGTTTTATGTCCGAGACTTCAAATTCACAGCCCCTCATTGCAGTCTTACGATGTGGCTTTTGAATTAACTAATTCTGAATTTACAGCACTCCCCAGCTTTGATGGCTATTCGTATGGGTGTTCAGCTGGGAATTTTTACTCAGATCAGCCAAAAGCCAGAAGGCGGCGCTTCATCTCCGGAGATCGCAGAGAACTCCGGTGCAAGCTTGGTTCTTGTTGGTAAGATTGGTCTATCCGACCGTCGTTTATCAATGAATTCTGCCATTCCCCTACATTAACATAAAATTATCATATTCAGCATGATATTATACTTGCAATAGACTAAATATCTAATATAAATTCTCTCAAGACCAGATTACTCGGCTTCTCGCCGCGACGGGATATATCAAGCAGGATGGAGTACAACACTTCAAGCCCTCGTCTCTTACCATGGTGATGGCAGACCCAGTCATGGAAGCAACCACTCGAGCCTGGTCAGTGCAATTTTTTATTTTTTTCCCATCTATGCTCCTAATCGGCTGAAGCTTTTATTGACAACACGTAGCTTTGAGATCGGCAACCTTTGCACTTCCAAAGCACCAGAGTTCTTCCGCAAAAACAATAATCAATTCCCTAGTTCTGCCAAGGACACGCCTTTCCAACTAGGATTTAACACCGATATGAACTATTTCGAGTGGCTGGGCCACAATCCCGATCTGGCCAAGGATTTCCAGCAATGGATGACACTAAAGCAGAAGACTACCATTAACTGGGTTGACTGGTTTGACATTCAGCGATCAATCATTGATGGCTCCAGTGGCAAGCCTGAGGATGTCCTTCTCGTTGATGTTGGAGGTGGCGAAGGGCATTATCTACGGCAATTCCGCGAGAAATTCCCCGAGACACCTGGCCGTTTGATCCTACAAGATCTGCCGCAGGTAGTTTCGACCGTTGAGAATCTCCCGGAAGGTATAGAATTGACGCCGCACGACTTTTTCACTCCTCAAACAGTCAAGGGTGTGTAATGTTAGAATTGCATAGTTACTGTGCTTGTGCTAATGATTGTCAAATAGGCGCGCGGGCATACTTCATGCACTGGATTCTTCATGACTGGTCGGACGAGCACTGCCGATCCATCCTGGCTAATATTGTCGATGCTATGGAGCCTGGTTACTCTCGTCTGATCATCCACGAGTCCATCCTCCCGGACCTCCACTGCGATCTGCCGTCTGCTTGTCTGAGCGTTATGATGATGGTCCAGGTTGCTGCGTTTGAGCGATCTGAGAAACAATGGAGGGATCTTCTTGCGTCTGTGGGACTGACGAAAGTCACCTTCTACCAGCCTCCTGGAAGTGGCGAAGGTATTGTTGAGGCTTTTAAATGATTTAGGGGGTATGAGGCCTGGTATCGGCTCAAGCCGGGGAGACAGGGGTGACAGTCAGGAGTAGGTTTCCTCTCACTTGACTGATTTAGGTATAAGGGAGTGGGTGAGGGGGGAAAGAGAGCGTAGGGACAAACTGAGTGAGAAATGAAGGCGAGGAGTGAGCCAATAGCTGCAGCGCTCTCACCCTAAAGTGATCTTATACTTTTATTAATCCCTGGGAGTGCTAGAAGACTTGATCCAGGATATAAATACTTTAAAATAGATGGCCATAAGTGGCGCCATTTTCAGCCGCCTATCTGCCACTTGCTGTCGCTCACCGTGCCCCCTGCACTCACGCACGGTGAATTTAACACGCCGCAGTAGCTTCGTATACACCTGTCGCCAGATTATCTCTCGTCACGAGCTGGAGAAGAGCATCAAAGACGCTCAACATCACCCAACAACCACTGGACATGACGATAAGACATTCGGCCTTGATCCTGGGATTGTCGATGACCCGCTTGGAAGGTTTCCGCAAACATCAGACCACGTTCATAGTGCTGGACTCCCATCAACCCCTGTGGACCATCCAAACCGCCATAATCGTCTTGGGCAGTGAAGACCGGAGCGTATTGCAAGTCGGACGTGTCAATAGTAATGGGAGTGGTGGGACGAGTCTGGAAACCCAGCTCGCCATTCCAGGTCATGTTCTGGATCGCCAGCAACGTTCCATTCGTGATGATCAGATAGTCCCAATCTCCATTCGAGATCAAGACCCGATTAGTCGCCTCGATCAGTCGCGGCAGGACATGCTCTGTGGGATTCGCAGACTCGTCGTACTGTTGCTCGGGCCCCGGGTTGACGCCCACAAAGACGCTTTCGATGCTACAGAGCTCCCAGTCGATATCGAGAGGAACATGCAGAGCGCTCTTCACATCCGTGCGGTTGAAATAGGTTGAGGGACCGGGTTGATAGGCAAGGTCTGTGGGGAAGCCCAGGACATCCCATAAGAGTGGACATGTCTGGCTGACCTTGTAAGGACTCCAACATGGGTTCGGATTATAAGCTTCGAAATAAATCATGTTGTAGATGTCGCACTCGGAGTAGTTCATTTGTTTGGAGGGTTGCACTCCAGAGGCCGGATAGGTGAAATACTCCTCGAAGTATTCCTTGTAACCGCATTCTTCGTAGGTAGCTTGCAGCTCCCCCATGTACGATTGGTTAAAGTTGAAGAGCTCGGCATGTTGTTCAACGAAGGGGTAGGAGGGGAGTTCGGCCTGGATATAATCCCACTGGCCGATGCACGCATCATACATCAGGGCTCCTAGTATGGGATGAGTATGTGCGACCGATATAATGCAGATTCAGGGGGATTCTCAAGTCTTACCGCTGAGGTTGAAGTACTCGGTATCATTCTTGTCGAGCATGGCGGCGGATATGAAGGGCACGTACCGGCCCGCATAACTCTCACCAGTTAAGAAGATTCGAAAGTTCTTAATACCGTATGTTTTTTGGAACTCTTGGAAAAAGTTGACGAAATCGGCAGCGATGTCCTCCTCGTCGGTTGCAGTCGGCGTGCCGTTTGAGAACCCAACTCCAACCGGTTGGTCGACCCTAAACACCTGTCAGCTTATCAAGTACATCCTCGGGTCTGCACACAAAGAAACCATTTTACTAATGACGTACCATAACATATTGGTTAAATTAACCCATGAGTACTCATTGATGACAGGTTCGTAGGTACCAGGTTGCCAGGTGAAGCGCCCGTTCTCCTGCAGAAACCCCTGCATTGAACTACATCCCGGTCCACCATTCAGCCAAATTGTAAGGTCGTCGCTTGGTTCCCCGATCTTCGGCTGGAATATGTAGAACAAGGAGGCATCGTCACGGACAGGGATAAACCCCGAGTACATCTCTCCCAAATCGAAATTAACGTCCGGTAGACTCTCCACGACATGGGCTGTGGAAACATTATTTGTCAGCCGTGGTTGAAGGAATGGGTAAAGGATTGGAGTAAAGCATACATTTAGTCTCGTTAGTTAAAAATCGATAGTTTGAGGGATCAATTGGTTCAGACTGCTGGGTAGGACGCGTAGAAGGGCCTCGAGTCGGCTGTCGTGCTTCGTTGCCATTGATCAGCAGTGCGATCGCCAGAACTGCTGAGATCGATCGACCGAACATCCTTGCAGTTCCCTTATACGGAGTAGAGATCGAGTGTTCGCAATGCAAAATGTCAATCGGCCCACTTGGGTAGAGCTAAGGAGAGGCTATGTACTCTTATACCCCTATATGCCGGCTTCTCTCGTGTTTGCATGACAAACACGCTTTGGTATTTCTTCCGAGATCCTTCGATATGAGATCCACTTTTCAAGGGATCAGCCGTGCTAATAAAATTAGCGGCTGTTGATCACGAACAGACCCTCTTTTGCCCACTTCTCTCCACTTTTTGCATTTTAGGTAAGTGTCGTCCGGAAATGAGATTCTTAATGGGTATTAGCATCAAACGCTAGAATACCAATGATTCATTGTGGTATATACTAAGTCTCGTAGCACATCTAGTTCTAATGTATTAGGAACATTGTTATGTATTCGAGTGTACATATACTACAGCATAAGCCAATTACCATATTGTATTAGATAAATTGTTAATAACCCTAAGCTTAAACAAGCAATCAAGCAAAAGCCAATTCGCATATAAATGGATTAATTACCTTTTATGCAATATTATTGGTCAATGAAAGCGGTTCCCCTGTTCCTTCTCCATATCTGACCCACCTGTGTTTTGAACCCGGGGATTAACTTACGGGGTTTAACTTACAGATCCCCGGCAGTTCTTTCCCAATTTACCAAGGGAATGAGTCTACTATGTAACTACTAAAGCGATATAGGTGCACGAAATCAGTAGTTGGGAATGACATTGGTACCTAGACAGCTACACCACTATATAGCTACAGTACTTCTTCCTTGTATCCGCGGAGATGGCTACAAACAGGCGACCGGGGGCCGGCGGAAGCGCAGTGCCTTGCATATCGAATAATACTACCGTATGTATTAGAATACAACAGTCTATACGAAGAGATCTAATCAGATTGTTTAGCTTATAATTAGCATAGTACTTGGCTAATTCGGTTTTTGTTACATATTGAAAGCAAGTTAATGTTTCGAAAGCGTTCTCACCTCGCAATGGATACATCGTAGGACCGAGAAATAACTTCTAACTTAGCATCTAGATTGCGTACCATGAAGTTGTATAATACAGAAGAGAATATTCGAGCAACTCCACATAACACGAAACAGAGGTTCAACCGTAGGACGAAGCTTAATTAGGGAATATTCGGTAGATCTCTGCGCTACTGGAAATGAATTCCACACGCGTACGCAGGACACAGACTATTGTATGGACCTTGGGGGAACAACTTGGAATAGGTCCACTATTATTAATGCTTTGCTAATCGATTCCAAGCCTTGGAAATTCCAAAGTAGACGTTTAATATTTATTGGTACCTTAAAACCTGATTATGATATTGATGCGGCATATACGGAGTACGGAGTACGGAATGCTAATTTTCCATCTGGGCATCTTTAAGCGGGCCGTTGTCGGATCTGATAAAAAGAGAGGGGCAACCATGCTTCATATAGTGCACAAAGACTTTAGCATAGTACTCCGTACATATCATCGATGTTCAGAAGCCCCTTTTTTCATAACTAATTTAAAACCCGACTGATTGCATTCTATGCCCTACTGCCACTGATACCAGTTCCATGGTATACCTTAGCAGTTTCGACACTCATTTTGCAGTATCTTTAATAGGGGCGAGCTGAGGAGTGTATTAGGGTTATCTTTGAGCTGAATCCACGTGACTGAATGTCAGCTTTCTATCCATGATTCATACAGAGTGTCCGTGCTTTGTACAACATACTTGGATTCAGCATATTCTCCGTATAGATGAAACTTGCGGCCCCGGAGTTGCCCGCGGCCGAGGTTTCGGGGCTTCGGGTCGGAGCAAGGGTATTTACCAGATATAAAGTGACAAGTGGTAGTAGAAGGCGAGGTGCGTTATAGAGCTTATGGTTATCACGGGGTCTGAAGATGCTTAATTAACTTGTTCATTATAATGAGAGTGCTGCTCTGGTATAAGGATTAAAGAGGTGCCAAGATATAGGCAAAGAAATTTGCAAAGTCTAAGTGTGTGTATTAAAGATCGCTAACAACCGGTAAAGAAAATTCTGCACTGCCTCCACGAGGGTGGTTATTTTTCATTTTTTATGGGTCTTCTTTATTTACATGGAATTATATTTCGATGACTACCCAGGTGAACTCAGCATTCAAGACATCAAACAGTTCCTGTCAGCTTTTCGCTAAGTTGTGTTGATTCATTAGCGTTATAATTAATTTCTTCAAATCCGAGAAAGAAGAGAAGACTTAATCAAAGTAATAGGCCGATAACCTTGTTGTCTTCTTCAACAGACAAGAACCGAATGGTCATAACCCAGGTATATTCAAGACTAAATCGGGCGTTGGAGACTAAGAGCAATCTGCATGTTTGTTCTTCTCCGAGCCACCATCATGATGTTCCTGAGTTGTATAATTGATTTACTACAACATAAGCTGTGCGTGGAAATTCAGCTCTAAAGCGATTAGTTTCCAACAGGCAGTGAAGCCGAGGAAGCCACGTAACCCGATTCTTCATAGTGAGCTCTATCACCCTCCTGTTCTCCACCTTTTATTCGCCCTTGTTAGTTCTTCTCTCCATTGCTGCTCTAAAACAAGAGGGGGCCAAATGAGAGTCGAATGATAGTAGATCGGAGAGCTCTTGCCCAGGATCAGCAACGGCTGTCCGAAACGAAATTTCACCTGTTGGCTTAGGGAGAGAATGAGACGAAGGCGGGTTAGCAATTTCGGTCCTGGGTGGGAGCTGTGCAACCATTATGCCAGTGCTAGTGCTACATGGTGGCAAGCGGGAAGCGTTGTATACTTGCTGTCGAAACATTATGAAGTCATTCGTTTTGGGCATGGTTCATAATTTCTGTACCTTGGGCGAAAGATCTGAGTTTCCTCCAAAAAGGAATTCGCAAACACAAATCACCTAGGTACGTCCTACGGCTTGGATCTGAACGATATCCCGGGAACCATCTTCGATCTTGAGGCTGATATCTCGTTTGCTCGCTCATAGCAACTCAACTTTTGATGGTTGTGAGTAAGCGGGTGAAGAGAAGCATAACTAGTTAAAATAAAGTGAGGGCCAAGTGAAAGTGTTTGAGGTCACGTGGCCTCTCGGGCATGCTTGAATTGGGGACTGCTTTCGCCGTGACCGCCTTCGGGCAGGACATTCATAGAAAAAGACATCTTAAGGAATAGCCGTCTGATCATCCCTCCCTGACCCCATATCTCGGTAAGACGGCTACAAGCACCTACCGGAGGATCTGCGTCTTCATTTTGTTTCCATCGGATTTGAGAGAACTTCCATCTCGGACTTCGCTGAGACTTGAGGACATACAGATTCCTCCTGCCCGTTAGAATAGTTCCAAGTAGAGCATTCAAATGTCTACAAGAGTGCTGACCCTACTGGTAGGTGTGGGTCAGACTTCGGTCTGTCAGATTTGGTGACCGACGCTGGGATTTCCTGACCCTAGGAGAGACCCTGATCCTCTGTGAAAGAGGAACTCATTGCCAAACAGCGCGATATCATCTTTGAATGGACAGATAATCATCGTCTCGTCCAACGAGTCCCTCGAAACCGCTGCAGCTGGAAGACATCTGGCACCTAGCTGCTCAGCATTGTGCTCGGCGGATATTGCCCATCTGGCAGATACTGCATACTTCAGCGAGGTACGGCAGGAGCTCCATGGGACCGTGATTGCCGATTCGAGCGCGCCTTCCCCTCAGTCAACACTCTCAACAAGTACGACCGGTAGTTTCTCTTCTCCTCCTCAGGCAAATCGATATTTTCCAGAGCACACGCATTCTTCACGCAGTACTCTTCGGATGTCTCCAATACAACTACATCGCAGGCAAAACAACCCCAGCTTTAGTGGTTGCCGACCAGCCAGCCTGTTGCATAGTCGATCGCTGTGATGATCTAACGATTGCCGTTCAGAGTGGGCGGCATCCGCCTGTTCGGACGATGGGGAATTGATCTCATCGGCCGCTTACCGACCACTCCGAACGGCAATCGTTAGATCACCACGGCGATCGACTATGCAACAGGCTGGCCGGTCGCCCGTGCAGTCCCGGACGCAACAGAAGAGGTTCTCACGGAATTTCTTTACCGCGATGTCTACGCACATTACAGAGCCTTCAACGAATTGCTCTCCGATAATGGCCCGAACCTCTTGTCCGGCGCAGTACGACACTTTGCGGGCTTGCTGAAAGCTCGCCACCGTACAACCACTCCATATAATCCCCGCACTAATGGGAAAGTAGAAAATTTCAATGGTTTAATCGGTCGCACGCTCACGAAATACCTTATGGGGGAACCCACGCGCGTGTGGGACGAGTTCCTCACGAAAGCAGCGCAATTTATTTCAATATTTGAGTGTAAGAAGGAAGGAGCCCGGGAAGAATGGTATAGCGATTTCGCCAAGCGAGCTCAAACTGAGGACGTGGGTCATCCTGTTGATTGGCTGCGGACTTTATACACGAGGATCAGTGTGCAATATATGGTATTCGAAATGGAAGATCTTTAGGTAACTGCAGATAAGATGGAAAAAGACCGGGTGGCTGCAGAACAGTTGGGAGAGGAGAGGCCAAAAGCCGTTGTCCCACCGTCTATCTTTGATGTACCCTGGGCTATGGGCCGTTAAACAGTGGACTAGTTGATATAGTCTGGCTATTGATACTCGTTGAGATTGTTTCTGCCTCAGATAGGAGGACTTCGCTCCCTGACTGTTTGATCTTCCTAGCAGTTAGCTCGATACAACCCACGGTTTTCTTTGCCTGAGGTTTTATACCAGTGGAGCTTGAAACCCGGTAGTGAGACAGGTCAAAATTTACTGTAGGAAAATCCGATATGGTGCACTGAAGGTGTATTAAGAATTCACTAATCTGCAGTAATAAGAAGTCAGAGCCGACCCCATAAGAGTCCGTCTTCTTCTTCTTCTTTTTTTTTTTTGAGTTTTCTTCATTTACAAGCGTATCTTCATGAATAAATTCCAATGTCACAGCTCAAATCTCCTCAATGACATCCTTCAGTACATCGAAAAGCTCACCGGCCTGCTTCTCATTACCGAGCTATAGGATCATTCAATGTTAGTATTATAATCATCAAATCAGAAAACTGAGAAAAATCGAGGAAGATAAGACTTACCCGGAGAAGATGGCTCACAACCTTGTCATCTTCATTGCTGGCGAGATAGATATCCCGAGTGGATGGGCGAAAACCCTTGATATCACCAAAAGGCATGGTCTTCCAAATTGCACTGTTCATCATAACACGCAAGGCACCATCGGCGCGCATGATAACGCGGCCGGATTTCTTTCCATCGGGCTCCGTCTTGAGGTTAACCTTGAAGGTGCCGGTACCACGCTCCTTCCATTTCTTGTCATCAAAGTAGTACAGCTTGCCCTTGGCTGTAAACTCGGTGGTCTCATTTTCTTCGCCGGTTTCAACTTTGTCATGGGGTGAGCGACTGTCCATCTTCGGGGTGCTGGGGGGCAAGGGGGGATCCATACCAGTTTGTGCGTGGAATCGCTCGTCGGTCTTCTCGGCGACAAAGGTGTCATCGGGTCCGCCCGCTGGTTCCTTGTCACTTTCTTCCTTGTCGGGTTGTTTTGCACCGAGGGTCTTTTCACTGGGCTCGCCAAAAGAAACGGGGGCATTAGGAGACGCGAAACTGGTGAGTTTACCAGCCGTTCCAAGAAAACCGACGGGAGCGTTTGCCGATGCGAAACTGGTGAGATTACCAGCTGTTCCAGAGAAACTGGCAGGGGCGTTTGCAGATGCGAAACTGGTCAATTTACCAGCTGTCCCAGGGAAAGCGGCGGGGGCATTGGGAGATGCGAAACTGGTGAGTTTACCAGAGGGAGCAGGGAAAGCGCTGCCAAATGCAGAGAAGCCGGATCCGAGGGCACCGAAACCAGCAGTTGAGGCAGGACCGGTTGAAGCATCAGATGGTTTATTTGCAGGCATTGCAAAGGGTGAAGGTGAGGTAGCAGCCTTTCCGAATGCACTCGTAGTGAAAGTCTGTTAGGAACTAGTGTTAGTGGAAGACGAAGAAAAGAAAAACTTGCGGAAGATGAGGTAGCCAACTCACCTGGTCCACCTTGGCCTTGCGCTCCTCCGAATTGTCACGAGGTCTCTTCTTCTCGGGTTGTCCTTCGGTGATGGATTTTTCGTCTGATGAAGTTGTCTCAGTCAAGCCAGGCGTGGGGTCAGTCGCAGCGTGGGAATTCTGTGAGACGTCATCTTCAAGTTGTTCTCGGCTCCGTTTCTTCTTGAGGGTTTGTGAAGAATCATCCTCGTTTCCGCCGGCGGTCGATTCAAGATTCTGTGGGAATTGAGAGTGGTTAGAATCAGGAAGTCCAAGCGTGGGTCTAGGGTAATAGGGGTGCGTTGGACTGTATGGGACAGGACGCGGAGAGGGAGAGGGTGAGGGTGAACGGTAGTCAGGTAGAGAGGGCGAGGGAGAAGAGTAGTCAGGCAGAGAGTCTTCATCTCCAATTGACTCGGGGTTTTGAGTTGTGTGAGATGGAGAATCATCATGTATGTAGGATTCAGATGAAGGGTGGGAAGGGTTCTCGAGAGAAGGGTGCACAATAGAGGGCGACCCAGGGGAAGGGTGTCCGGGGGAAGGGTGTCCGGGGGAAGGTTGTCCGGGGGAAGGGTGTCCGGGGGCAGGGTGTCCGGGGGAAGGGTGTCCAGGGGCAGGGTGTCCAGGGAAAGGGCTTCCAGATGAAGGAATAGGCTTTGCAGAAGGAATGGTGTCACGGATTTCGGAGGATTCGCCTTCAGCGGATCTCGAAGTCGAGGAAGCCAAGGTGACCGCTCCAGTTGTCACCTTGATACCAACCTCAACAGGAATGGTCAAATGGCTAACTTGCTCGGATCCGCCAAATGAGACCTTGATCTCAAGCTCCAAGGGAAATTGGATCTTGGTCTCGGTGATGAGGCTCATGATCGGGTTGTGGGACAAGGGTGTATTGCGAACCGCAATGTTCGCGGATGATGTGGCCAGCACATCGTCACTCACATCTTGGGTAGTGGCATCCTTGGGTAATTCGGCGTGATTGGAGTTGTCTTCACTGTCAGCGGTGTTCGGAGTACACTCTCGGGATCGCTTGGCTGGGGGTGTGTCGTTTGCACCATCTGTGTTGTCGAGGTAGCGCTTTCGGTTTGCACGTGCAGAATCGTTGTTTCCACCAACAGCATCGAGGTTAGTCTCCTTGAGCTGCTGTCGCACGGGGCGTTCGCCGCTATCATTGTCGGAGGGGGGCGACTGCGCGGTCACTATCAAGATTGTCAGATCACATGAACTTCGGAGAAAGCCCTACGGCAGAAAGGGTATTGCAGATATAAGTAAAAGCTGCAGAACGGAGCAAAGACCGATCGATTAAAACGTACCTCTGTGGTCCATTTTCAGTTGCTCCGTTTCCAAAGCTTTGGAGGTTGTCAGCGAAACTGCCCAAGTATGTGGGGGAGGCTATGCGCCCAAGCGCTGATCACATACCACCTGTGGAGAAGTTCTGCTCGCTAGAAGCAGAAGCCATGGCGTCACGTCCTATAGACAAGCTTGTCAAGGATATTGGTATTGGATTCCAGATATCCGGTCGAGATTGAGTTGGGCGGAGCTTAAACCAGGTCACGATAACTGCAGATAACCGGTTCGGATCGATTGGGACCAGCCGAATCGACGAAGGATGGAAGATTTGAAGTTTGCGAACTTTGCGAACAGAAGAACGAGAGGATGGAAGGGTGGAAAGGTGAGAGAAGAAGGAAAATCTAGCTTGCCGGTTCTTATAAGTTGACCGCCGGGTGCGGGGCCCAACAAACGGGTTCTCTGAATAGCAAAGCGTCAATGGAAATGGAAACAAAGCATATTCATCTAAATAGACAATTGTCTATTGTTGCCTGGTGCCTGGGCAGATACAATTCGCATAAATTCAATTCAGAGTCTGGATATACCGGTATCCGCGCTATTCTAATACAATTCAATGTTATTATTGAGGTTGCGCCGATGCCTATCAGAGGCATGTGACGGCGCATTGTCTCAACTCCCAAGCACAATATCACAATAGAGAGCCTTAACTGATGAAACAGAGACACCCGATCGCAATGTAGAACACAAACAGCGGGTACACTGCGATGCCGACTCGGTTCCGCACCACTCCCGAGCCTCCCAAGATGCTTACTCCGGCTGCTAAAGACCATGCGACTAATACAAGATATACTGGTATCCGTGCAATGGTAGGAAGTCCTAACGCACTCAGCATCGCGGCGATGACCAAGGGGAAGAGCGTATATCCGATAATGCAAATCGACTGGAAAAAGGAACTAACACGCCCAGGCCGCAATGTTAGTAGACTGCGATGTTGGGAGATGATTCGTAGAAAACTTACATCTTGCCACCAAGAAGCTTGATCTGAAGAGTCACAGCAGCTTCTCCGATCCAGACAAGACAGAAAACGCCCGAGAAAACCACCGACGACTGATCACCCTTTGCGACGGACAAGAACAAACTCAGGACCAGGCAAAAGACAAGCGGTCCCCTAGAGTACTTATTAGTATTTTTCAGACTTCCCGTGTGTAAATTCGCTTACCAGAGATCCCAGTCCCGCAACCCATCGCTCATGCCACCCTGCAGGACCACGTCGGCATCCGGCCAGCGTCCAACGAGTCCCCGAATGTTACCACCAAATCCAGACACTCCACCTTGCTCGGAATCAGCGGTACCACTGCCCCCGCGCTGCATCATTCCTCCGAGCAAGTACTTCGGCCAAAGCACCTGGCGCATCTTCTCCCACACGGCAACCAAGTCGCGTGACAATGTCTCCCAAACACTCTCATCGATGGTATTTTGCACTGCACGGCGATCCTCACCACCGATAGAGGACGTTAGATAGTTGCCATAGCCAGAGGAATTGCCTCGGTTGGCCGAGCTGGATTCGATGTTGCCTCGCAGAGGGGCCGTGTCGGAGGTATTGTGCAGGGGGTCGTCAGCGTCGATGGCTAGAATCACACCGAATTAGGATCTTGCGGATACAGTGGTAATCAAGAGGGCAAAGAAAAATACTCACCATCATCGGCTTCGATCAAATCATCACCAAGGAGAGACTCGTCATCATGGGGCTCATCATGGGGATGGCCTTGGTATACGGTAGCCATGGTTCGCGTGGTATGGTCGTGATGGTCGGAAGTTTACCGCAAGAATGGCACTTCCTTTAGTTTTAGTCCTCTCAGAGGCGAAGTCAACAGGAAAGGTCAAGGTAATCGGGGAGTATGAAAGCAAGTTAGCCAAGCTGTCCCGGAAAGGCTAGAGTGGCATTACGTACTGGGTCACGGGTAATGTTACCAGGCACGTTATGTTTCAGCTTTTACTTCTACGATGCACTTGCATGCATATTATGGGCTTTCTGATTTGAATGTTTCAACTGCCTTGAATCTCCAAAAATAAAATGATCATCCGATGTCATTAATTTGACAATCAATTTTCCTCGGTATCAGCAACATAAGGCGCCTCCTCCTGATACACATCGTACTTGTACTTGCTTCCGATATGGTCAGCCCTGAGCTCTTTCTGTCCCTTGCCATATATCCTCTCACGGGCTGTGAGAGCTGGCTCTGAGGGGTCTGGAAGTTCAGGATAAAGACCGCGCCGCCTCAGCTCCGGGATGAGCAGGTCAACCACATCCTCAAAGGTGCCAGGCGTGGTAACATATGCAAGATTGAACCCATCGAGGTCAGCCTCTTGTATCCAACGCTCCATCTCATCGGCAACAGTAGCCGGGCTTCCAATAGCTACCGGGCCGAGACCACCGATTGCAGCCTTCTCGGCAACCACGCGAGGCGTCCAGCGTGGAATATCCTTGCTAGTCGTGGTCAATGCGTCAAGCAAGCTAGTGACTTTGTTTGCCTCCAACGAGTCTAAAGCCGTGATGTCTTGGTCCAATGGGATTTTGGAAATGTCAATGCCCGTCCATCCGCTGAAAAGAACCAGTCCTCCAATCACCGACGCGTATTTCTTCAGCTCCTCGTACTTCGCCCACGCCTCTTCGTCGGTCTTGCCTACAATGGGCGTAAAGGTACCGAAGAACTTGATTGACTGTGGATCACGGCCTCGTTCTGCGGCTAGCTTGCGGATGTTGTCGACCTTCGGCCTCAACACCTCTGGCGAATGGGAAGAGACAAAGATCGCCTCAGCGTGTGTCGAAGCAAAATCCGATCCTGCAGGTGAAGTCCCTGCCTGGAAAAGGAACGGCGTCCGCTGCGGAGACGGGTCGACGATGTGTCGTGTGCTTAATGAGAAGTACTTGCCCTTGTGATTGATCTGACGGACCTTATCCGGGTCTATGTACGAGTCTGTTTCGGGGTTGGGCGACAGTGCATCAGGAGCCCAGGAACTTTCCCACAGTCTATAAGCAACAACCGCCGAGTCAGTCTTCCACGGCATCACTAACCAAGCTTTTGACATGCAACTCACTTATAGAGCACCTTCAAATACTCATCTGCCTGGCGATACCGTTCGTCATGCTCAATTGGAGTATCCACACCAATGGCTTTGAAAGCCGCTTTCTTATATGAGGTCACGATGTTCCAACCCAATCGACCATTGGTCAAATGGTCCAGGGTTGAAAAGCGCTTAGCCAGCAAAAAGGGCTGCTCGAATGAAGTTGAGGCCGTGATGCCAAACGCCAGATTCTTTGTCACTGCAGCCATTGCTGAAATGGGCTAACCAGAAGTCAGAGTCTGATCGGAATATTTGGTTTATTGATACTCACAATAGTCGGGTCTGTCACCGGCCATTGCGCCGCACGCCGAATACACTCGTCTAGTTTGCCCTCATAGGTATCATGACCTCCAGTTGTATCTGCCAGGAACAATGCATTGATTCCGCCGCGCTCCAAGAGTTTCGCCAACTCTATCCAGTACCCGAGAGTTCGCTTGGTCGCAGACTTGTCCTTGGGATTCTATGGAGCTGTCAGCATTCCGGCCCTTCACCTTCGATTCCTATACCAACCTTCCATTGTCCAGGCGACAGATGTCCCACGGTCGACATATCAAAAGCGTTAAGCAAGATTTGTTTCTTGCCATTGCCAACGGCCGAGCCATTCTGGCTAGCAGTTGCACTGTCACCCATGATTCGTAGTTTTCAAGGTGAAATATGCTTCCTTTCTTTCCTACGGGCAGTACTTGCTCGCGCAAGTTCGAAGCGGATCGGACGATGGTCTATAAGAGTGAGACGACCCCTCATGTTCCAAACCAACAAAGCCCGGAAGGACGGCTCTGTCCAGGGGTACTACCCCCACCATCCTAACACAGAATTCGCCCATCGACGACGTATCTCGCGCCATCGACAATGCAAAAGAGGGGAACGGCAAGCCTCCGAGCCCTAACAGGTTGGATTCTTAGAGCTGCATATGGCGTGCCGTAGACCAGAACATTCGCCATCATCTCCACATTAATCACATTATCTTGTAGATATCTTTAACCTCCGAATGATAATGCCGGCATAAGTCATGAGAGCCTATCGGACCATTTTTCTCAGCGCGATATCAGTATTAAGGACAAAGGATAGCACGTTAGAGGGAAGAATTTCATCATCGGCTGTCAGATTGCGTGACATTTTCCTCGTCAACACCCGACTTCGCAGATTATTACATATTATGTTCCATTTCAACCTTGGGACTGGTCTTTGTTATCTAAATTAAGGGATAGAAATGACCGGATAATAGCCGGAACGATGATATTCGAATGTCGTATGACTTAGCAGTTTATATAGGGGAGTGTAAAAGGCTCGGCGGTTTTCTGGTGAAAAGGTCCGTTGGTAGTAGACCTACCTACCTTAGTATTGGCCGGAGAATATATTTCAATTCTTCGTTTCTCATTGGGGGCTTATCCAATATCGGTATGTCTTTCATTATTACACTTAATCTATTCCTAGCCATGATCTTCTGTAGGCTTCTTACCAAAGTCAAGGCGACTGGCATAACGAAGACTCAAGGACAAGGATCATTACAAGTTGACAGCAATATCAAACCCCTGTGGAATCTTGATTATCGTCTCATGTTAGAAGTAGAGAATGTACCCATGGTATTATGTACAATAATGCAAATATGCAACGCCATCTATATCCCCCAATGTGTGATATACAAACATAATACAATCGAGGCCTCAGCCTCGTCCTGTCAAAGGCCACAAATATAATCGTGCTTCTCACAAGGAAGGTTCCTCTTGCGAGTCCGCACTTTCTTGCTCTCGAGAGTTGCGAGCCTCCCACTGGAATTTTTTGATGCGTTCCCGGGCCTCCTCCTTCTGCTGAATCGTCGGGTATACTTTCTTCCTCTTCCAAGCCGCAATGACGTCCTTGTCGGAATACTTCTTCAGCATCTTCGAGTCGGCGTCAAGGGCCTTGCGCTCGGCCTTCGAAACATAAGGCTTGTAGTCAAGGTTCAGGGTGTCGTCAACCACCAAACGAACCCGCGACATGATCTTCACAGCCGCCGGCCCGGCGACGGAATCCGAAAGCGTGTTCTGGAGGGCACTCCAGCGAGTCTTCGACTCGGGTTTTCCATTCTCCATTGCCTCGTGCAGTTGGAGAATATATGGCCGTAACGTGGCGATAGCAGCTAGTCTCAGCTTCGCTTGTAGCTTTCTGCCCATCTCATGTAGTTTGGGGGCTTTGGTGGATTTGGAGTCTTCTGTGTCGAGTCCTCTGAGGTGCAGGAGAACGGACGAGTTGGCGGAAAGGATCTGGATCGTTTCCAGATAGCCCTCGAGGACGCGAATGTCAGGTAGGATCAATGCTTTGTCCATCAAACCGACCAGCTCGTTCGCATGTTGGAGAACTGAGTGGTTGCGGCGATCACGGCGGCAGACACTGAGAGCGACGTGGAATGCTGTTCCGGTTGCTTGGCCCGAGGGAACCATCTGCTCCCGCATGGTTTTCACACTGATTTTGCTGGAGCGAGAGATGCGGAGGAGGCGGAAATATTGGATGTAGGTGAAGGTATCGGGGTCAATGCGGTAATCGTGGTCCTCCAAAGTCATATGTTTCCAGTAGGCCTGTCCACCCTCAGATCCTTGAGTCATGGTGAAGCATGCGTTTAGGATAAGCGTCAATTCCTTGCTGTCGGGTTTAAGGAATGATAGCTCCTCCGCCTGGGGAACAACAGGTTTGAAGAGTTCTGAGAAGTCTTCCTCTTCCTCCTCTTCCTCCTCTTGCACTTCTTCCTCCGCCTTCTCCTCCTCCACTTCTTCCAATGCTTCCATCAACTCTTGTTCAACCTCCACGGCCGATTTGAAATTTTCGATTGGTCGATTGTTCTCGTCTACGAACGGAACATCTTCCAATTCTGATTGCCGCGTAGCCTCTGAGACTTCAAGGGCTTGAGTTTGCTCGGGAGTTATCCTGCGACGGGTCGTCTTCTCGTTCTCAATAGGTCGTTTTTGCAGTATAGGGATCCCCATGGTTTGCTTGTACAATTCCATGACATTGTAACAATCAATATCACTACCGCCTTCCAGAAGCAAGCTGGCCATGCCGTTAACAAGTTCATTGTCAATTTCCAAGGTTCGGTTCTTCCACCGCCAGATGACATCGGCCCAAATCCGCTTGCCTTCAGTAATAACCTGGGCCTTCCGTTCAAGAATCTGCTCAATCTCATCAGGAGACCTTTTCTGTATATCTCTGCGAGCTGCGAATTGGACAGCGTTCAAGATGATGGTGTAGGTGGTAGCATCCGGGGCACCTGGGCCCTCTTCGGGTAATTCACCGGCAATTTTCCACAGGCGATCCATATCCCAATGACGATGGCAGACTGTAAGCATAGCGTTGGTGTGTATGATATCAAGCTTGACTCCAGAGTTCGGCGAGCCAATCGAGCGGTAGACAGAGGCGGCAGTTTTGGCAACACCCAATGACCTCGGGGCTGCGCTGAAGCCCTTCAACATGATTGTGTATGTTCGGGGAGTTGGTCTCCTGCCACGTTTTTTCATCTATGAGAGAAAGTCTGTCAGAATACAAGTCCGAACCTCAATCTCGGGCACCACCGAACAAAACTCACATCATTGTAAAACTTGAACGCAGCCTGCGGGTGATTTTGATCCATGCAATATTGCAGCAGATGATTCCAGGCAACATCACATCTCAAGCCCTGCTTTGTTCCAGCACGAACCAAGGCCGCCGCCAGGGCCGGATTACCACTGTGCAAAATGCGCGCGACCCGATCCGCCATTTTGCGAGGGTCGTTCAACCATTTCAACTCCTCGTTGATAATCTTGGGTGTGAGCTTGGGCATTCCTCTAGGCGGGCCACGATAAGTGTCCTCGGGAGCCTCGCCATCGGCCTCAATGTCGGCCTCAATGTCGGCCTCACCATCTTGTTCTTCGGATGCCTTGTCATCAGAGGCGCGATTCTCCCGAACCTCGCCTTCATCATCTCCATAATCATACGGATCATTCTCCAATTCCTCGCGTTCGGCAGTCTCTGGATCCAGAGCCTTGCTTTCGGAAGTTTCGAGCTCACTGTTGTACCGCCCGGTAAACGAACCCGACGCAATAGCCATCAACATGTCATGCTCCTCCCTAGACTTGACATCCTGAACCACCCGCCTGTTATCATGCCGACTTTTAAAATGTTTATCGCCAACATGTCCTATGCGGCGAGTATCGCGATCTCTATCGGAGGAGCGGTTGGGATAGGAGGAGGAGTTATAGCGGCGGTAGTTACTGGACGCGATCCATGTCTGTGGCAGTCGTTGGGATGCAGTAGTAGCACGGTATTGCTGTGCGGTGAGCAGTCGGCTGCGCAAAGCTCTGTTCACGAGCGACCCCGGAAACCGAAATGTCATGACCGGGTTACTGATCTCCAGGTGGAAAGCTTGTGTCCTGCACAATGCTATAAGGGAGACACGGATTCAACAGGAGCGAAATGGCAAAATGGAAAACACGAAGAACAGATTGTTATTTCCTCATCGCGTGTTGGAGATGGTCCGCTAAACAATTTCGCAGATTATCCGGCCGCTAGTTCATATCGGGTCTAGGCTTAATGTCTGTATATTCAGGCATCAATTATTCCTGCCTAAGGTGTCATTCAACCATTGATACCTCAGGTTTCTTCGAGGTCCAACTAGACTGCAAGTGGTTTAGTTCCCATTCCTTCAACCCATGTTCCCTGCGGGCCTCGACGGGAGCGCTAGAGCACATTTCCCAGAGTCTTCTGTGCGTTTAAGGACTTGACTAGTTTACTAGTTCCCTTGGATCGGCGTTAACATCTGGACTTAGCACATGCGCTGATCCGTGGATGAAGATATACTTCCCTACCTTAAATCAACCTATGAAGTGGACGTAAAGCTTCATAGCACTATCACATTCTCTCTCTCATTCATTTTCTATTATTGGATCCTCCCATCCGACGCTACCGAGCCTTCATTCCAAGTATACATACATCATCGAACATGATCTGAAAATCAAACACCATATTCATAGTATACCCATGCACATCACTCACTACATCCTACCCAGCCATCCTCCTAAGTTCTAACCCAACCGGACCATAATAAACACGACATGCACAGCCTACCTACTTGAAGTATCACACGACACTAGTCAGAAGCTAAAAACAACCTAACTAGTGGAGTCCAACAGAAACAGACTACATAAGCACTAGCCAAGTAACTAAGCAATGTGACATGTTAACTAACTAGCACGCGGCTAGGCAGGAAGAAGAAGTAAGCTAGAAACGACTAGGAATAACTCTAAAAGCAAAATTACCACCAGTCTCCCCCACGATGATATCGGTGGCTGATACTAACGTCCAACACGTGGAGACGCTTTACTGTAGTAAGTTAGTTAGTTAGTTCCTAGCTTCGTGTCCTGTGTATGATGTATGATGTATGTATGTTGTACAGGCCACATATACTTGTCTTATTCGGTTCTAGTCAGGTAAGGTACTGTGCGCATGTGTACATATGCAGTAGTTGCCAGTGCGTACGCACATCAAACGGCTTTGCATGGTATTGTGCTCGGTCCACGGTAAGTGCCGGTACTGCTTAGTGCTGATTTGGGTTAGGCGTAGATTGCCCCGGGATGCTTGCAGTGGTTCGTTATTGCCAGGAGTGATTTATTTTGTGTATAATACTGAGGCCTGTTTGATTCTCTCGGCTATATGTGCCTTTTTCTTATACCAGTAATGCTTTTGTTTTTTTTTCTATTTTTTCTCTTGCATCATGACTATACTAGCCTGCATTTGACATTTGAACTAGTTAGTTACTAAAAATGTGACATCCTTTACATAAACAATTTTGAGCATCAAGACAGCGAGAATAGTGACATTTAAGCTGATTGCAAAATGCACTAGAGAGGGGAAAGGACAAAAATAAATAATACACATCAGGTTGGATGAGTCCGTGGAGCATAATGTACGTTATAAAACGAAATTGAAGAAAAAGAGAGAGGAGTGAAGCGAACACTTGCATGTAGCAAGGTTAACACGGATAAGAGGGAACGGGAAACAAGACTAGAACAAAGAACCCCAGGAAAACGATTTTGGGAGAATGCTGTCGATAATAAACAGATGCAAATAATCCGCCGCCCAACCCATCGTTGGAGCCACGACCCAGGTAAACGGGCAAACAAGATAAGACATACACCACTTCCGCATCAGATTTCAAGTAGGAAATAGAACATAGAGAGGGTACAAAAGGGCGCCAAGCCCTCTCGGCTCGATGCACTCTAACACAAAAAGGATGACAGGTATAGAACAAAGCTGGAAAAGCCACTCTTAGACAGATCGGGAATAAAAGCCGCAGAGGTTGGTATCATAGCACGAAAGACTCGGGAGCGGAAGAATGGGGGGTGTTGGGAATGGGAATCGGAATCCAGGACGAGAACATTAGTCAAGGACAGGGGATATCGTGATAAGAAAGAAAAAGCAAATGCATTTCCGTCCGTGTAGGTCCATAGCGGAAGAGGTGATTATGTGGGAAATATTATTGCGGATAGTGGGCGGATTGAGTCTCTGGAAGCTGTAGCGAATTTATGGATCTGTGGACAGGACAGGTCGAGGATGACCTAGTCCAGAGGGTCGATCCTGGTATAAAGAAATGGCAACGACATTACTCACGTTGCGGGTACCCCGGTCCGCTCTGGTAGGGAGAGTGAGGGTAGTTGGGAGGGTAGGCTATCTGTGCATTACTCTGATAGACCATACCGCTGCCAGGAGGACCACCGTACTGGCCGGGGACCTGGCTGTCTGCGGGCTGGTACCCGATCGGAGGGAGTTGAGGGCGAACTCCACCAGCGTAAGGAGGCGGCTGTCCGTGGGATGGGTCAGAGGGGTTCGGAGGTTCGACCTGGTTGGCCTGGGCGGCCTGGACGGCAGCACGCTCACGCTCCTCGATAGCCTTGCGCTGAGCATCTTCCTCCTTCTTGCGAGCCTTCCACTCCTTGCGGATTTCCTTGAATTCTAAGAGAGCAAAGTCAGCAGTGAGCTTAATAATGATCAGTTTCCAAAATGGGAAATAGCGTGGACGATGCTGGCTAGTGCCGGGACGGAAAGGGATAAGAGGCAAGCTTAGCCTCCACGCCGTCGGCCACGCTACTGCGGGCCCCGCGACACCTAGTGTAACTCACTAGCGTCCGACGGCGGGCGCTAACCCGATCTAGCCATTTGCGACAAGATTCAAGATCTCCGTCGCATTGACCAGCAAAAGTCTAAAAGCAAAGAAAAAATGACATGAACTTACCCTCAGGAGTACGCTTGGCGCCATGCGATTGCATAGTCACGTGTGCATTCAAATGGTTTAGAGTACCATATGCCTTTTCACATCCGTTCCATCCACACTTATACATGCGCTCAATTTCCTCGTAACGACGACGAGGGCGCTTATGCTGCTGTGCGCCAGGGATTGGGACAAAAGAATAGACCTAGAGTAAAACTTCGAATCAGCTCTGATCAAATTCAAATTCCAAGCCACCCAATCTTATCCCCAGAAGGAAGCGGTTGAGGGGTAGAGCACGCGGTTTTTGACGATCCCTATGACGGCGGTTCATGGACCGCATAGTCAAAACTCAGAGGGCATCCAAGACAACAATGGTTGAACAATGTGACAAGGCTTCAGAAATCCCCCCGGGAATCATCAAAAACATACCTTTGGAGAGCGCGGCCCCTTGAGTACACCAACAGGAGAGGTGGAACCAACCGTTGTGGCCGGGGAAGCATAAGGTCCCGGCAATCCATGATGCTGTTGTCCATAGCTATGAGGCCAATCCGGACGTGCGTACATATGCTGAGGCGGAGGTGGGTGACCCTGGTACTGCGCCATCTCATGCCCCTGAGGTTGATAAGGAGAGTAGGGAGGAGGATAGGTGGGGCTGTTGGCCGGAAGCGAAGGATCTATAGGAACGGGCGCGTCAGACTTTGAGTGCGGACTGCGCGGGCCCGTAGGCAAGGTGTTGGTGAACGGACTTGTTGCTTGAGCCATACCTGGCGCACCGCCGGGTTGGGAGTTGGGGGCGTAGGACTGAGGAGGCCGGTGAAGGTAATCCTGGTAGCCAGGCGAGCGGGCGGTGGGCGGAGGGTTCAGACCGTAGTCCGACTGAGGGGTGTTGGCCGACGAAATATTGGCGGGTCGAACCTCAGGCTGCGGTGTATACTGCGGCGTGGGGCGGGCCTCGGGTTGCGGGGTGTAGTGAGCAGCAGCAGCAGAAGTTTGTTCTGCGGGTTTTTGTTCAGAAGGTGCGTCGGTGACGGCGTTTGGGTGGTGCGAACCTGGCTGTGCGTACTCGGAAGCGGGCCGGTTGTCCATAAAAGAGAGGATTCGCGCGCAAAGATGCCGACGAATCTATCCAGGGAGATTTTTCGGTTTAGACCTGTGGTTGAAGACGCGTCAACACAACAATGGGTCTTGGGGGGGGGGGGGGGGGGGGGGGTGGGGGGTTTAGTAAGAATTTATATTTGGAATTTTATGTTTATTAAAAAGAATAATAAAAATATAAAAAAAAATATAAAAATAAAATAA